CGATCCATTGGGTTAGGGCAATGACAACTCCATTGCCGTCGAAAGATTTAGAATTTGCGTTCATAAAATCCTTATAGGAACACTCCTTCTGGTGTCCCTGACCAACCTCAAGGTTTTAGGGATGGGTACCACCTCCCGAACCGCTAGAGCCACCAGAATTTATCTGCGACATTACAACAACCACAATGGATGTAACTGCTGCATGGAACATGGCAGGATCGAACTGAGGAAGTGGTGGCGTCGGATCCGTCGGGGGATTATTGTTCTTTTTGCTGGGTCTTTTCTTCGGGGGCATTTTGTTCTAAAAATAATCAGGAAGAAGAGGATGGTAAGTCCCCTAAAATTTTGAATCAAGAGATATGAAACAAGACATATCTCATCCTGATAGATAAAGTGTTCTACTAAGCGATAAACAAAGAAAGGTTACCAAAGCGAGTAAAATATCGCTAGGAGAAATAAGTAGCAACACTTGGAATGAATCTCTACACTGTATTCGGCTATAGCTAAAATACTCCTATAGTATCTTAAGTTGTATGCTCTGTATATAGCTTGGTAAGTTTTAGGTTTGCTGCAACACCACAGTCACTCCCAAACACATGTTGGTCATGTCTCAAATAAATATAGTTGATCAGGCTATATTGATCCCATACATGATTACATAACTATCCAGGTTTAACCGCAATGTCAACCATCCAAATACTTTTGTTTTGTTCTACTTATGATATTGTTTCTGGTATATATGTATACTTGTATACTTCTTATAAAATACTTATATTTTAAAAGTATACTTTTATTTCAGAGCACTTCAGCCCCTCAGCGTTTATAGTTGTATACCATGTAAGGTTCGGTATACTTAGTTCACTATAAAGAATAGCTCTGATACCAATTTGTTACACCCCCAAACCGGAACGACGGAAACGTTCGGGGGTGGATGTCGTCATGTATAGTATCACAATAACTGCATCATAGTAATCAAAGTACACACAACCATTACATTGATAAAGTAAAACATTTACATCTGTTTGTCAATCCCATATAAATCTATACACAAACTCACGTTCTCCCGCAAGGAGACTCTGGTTATAATCTCTGGACTTTTGTCAGTACTTAAGTAAGTACGCAAAGAATGCTCACTCATAAAATGCTATAATAACGATTACATGTAGAATAAAATGAATTCTTTAATTTAACTAGCTAAATATATGTCTCATAAACTATACTCTATATAGCTTATATGGTTGATCACATTGAATCTATGTTTGTACATTGATACGTTAATTGTTCCATAAACTATACCTATTATAGCTTACATGTTCGTTAATGTATTCATGTTAAACACTGAAAAAAACTCTATGATGTGTGTTGAAAACCTCCCTTATGCTCAGCAATATACAAAAGGGATGAAATATCTCAATATTTGATAAAAGTATGAAAATTGTGTGGTTGTGTCAATTGTATCAGTTCTAAGTGTATTGAAATCCGTTTGTATAGTTTCACAAGATCAATGATGTTTGGCTTGTATTCCCCCATGAAAACGTTAAAACTGTAAAGAAATAGGGGTATGAACTCACTTGATTAGGAGTGAATTGGATAAATAACAACAACAAGATGCTTGGTATGCTAATTGAAGTCCTGAGCACAATACGGTCCTATTAAGCACATGGTAACACGTATAGGCCTACAATTAGTGCCTAAAACCACTAACAATAATAGGAAACACCCTAAGGATGTAGGAAACACTCACAATGAAGTGTTAGAATCAAGAATGAGGGACATGGAAGTGTTTACGGCCAAACCTCCATGGGTTCATGGCCTAAGAGGTGTTCACGACAACACGTGAAGGGTTTACGACCCAAGATGTGTTCACGGACCAAGAACACATGAATACTTGAAGGGTTTTCAGCCCATTATGAAGGGTTCATGGATGTGAACTCTTGAAGTCCATGAAGATGGTGAAAAAGTGATGATTCAAGGCTAGAATCAAGAGGTTTCTAAGCATGAACAAGTAAGGGACAAAATACTTATGTTTTGAGGGCCTTAAGAGTGTTCATGGTTGAAGATAGATGAGAGAGAATGGGGATGTTCACAGCTAGAGCATGAAGAAATAAGGAGAAAATGTGTGAATCATATATATATATATATATATATATATATATATATAGAGAGAGAGAGAGAGGGGTGGTTCACGACCCAAGCATAGGTTCACGCCTGTGAACCTAGTTTTCGGTCGTGAACTCCCTTTGAAGGTGTTCCAGGTTCGATTGCTTGCTACAGATTCTAAGATAATGTTTCGCAACATTCAACCCTTGAGTGTAGTAGGCTTAAAGATTCTCAAACAGACCCTGAATACAATAAAGTGATAATAGAAATGAGTCTGACTTTTATTGGATGAATTTGATTTACAAATAAAGATTTCGGGTTGTCACAAGATCATAAGCCAGTGGCCTCGTTTGACTATGACAGCCGCGAGTTGCTGACACGGCATGAGAGGTTCTGGTTCCGTGGTGGGGCGGAGTACGACAGATTTTGATGGATGAGGCCCACAAATCCATGTATTCTATCCATCCCTGGGTGACGAAGATGTACAGAGATCCTCGTCCTGATTATTAGTGGCCGTGCATAAAGCAGGATGTAGTCTGGTACATTGAGAGATGCTTGACCTGTAGGAAGGTCAAGGTCGAGCACCAGAGGCCTCATGGAAAGACACAGCCGTTGGATATCCCTATGTGGAAATGAGAAGATATTACTATGGATTTCATCATGAAGCTTCCCAGGACCGCACGTGGAGTGGATTCAATTTGGGTCATCCAGATGCAGCAGCATACTTCAAGGAAGAAGTCTAAAATAAGTAGGGGAGATTTGTAACGCCCAGTTCCCAGTACGCATTTTAAATATGAATTTTTGCATTTTTACACTGGGACTCGACGAGTTGGAGGCCCCAACTCGTCGAGTAGATGCGAATCTTGGATGCGGGTGGAAGAGTCTACTCACCGAGTCGGAAGCCCTGACTCGACGAGTAGATTCATCTGTATGAAACCCTAAATCTTAGGGTTTGCACCCTATTTAAACAACTTATATGGCCTCCACTCCAACCTCCATCACCCTCAGACCCTAATTTCAAAACCCTAATCAGTTTGTGACTGTTCTTGAGCTTTTTGTGTCATTGTGTGTTTTTGAAGCTTAAGAAGAAAGAGGAAGCTTGGGAGATCAAGAGGAAACAGGTAGATCAAGAGGAAACAGGTAGATCAAGAGACTGTGTCACATACTTAGTTCATTTGAGGTATAAAGTCTGTACCTTGTTCATTCATTCATTAGATCTCCATGGGATAATTTAGGACCATTTGGAGCTCATTATGGAACCATTCATGGATGCAAGCTTGTTTTGGTGTTAGGACTTCGGATCCAGAGTCTTAGAGGGACTCCATGGCATAAAGGTGCCAACTTTATGGCCATGGGAGTCCCGTGCATCTTATGGAACACTTTTTAGGACTTTATGAGCTAGTTAACCTATGCATGCACACAAAGTTTGTAACTTTACGTGCTATATCGATCCTAGGAGGTCAGATCTATGTTCTGGATGCATTAAGCCTGAATGAAATCGACTGGATAGACTTGGACTTTATGGGACTTGATGAGTCGTTTATAGGACTCGGCGGGTCGGGTAATGGATCCCTAACCTTTTTTTTATTATTATTTTTATTTTTTTATCTCTGAGCAATCTGGTTGAGTCCAGAAGAGGACTCAACAAGATGGATGTGAATGTGAACTTGAAGATCAGAGAACTCGACGAGTTCAAGGCAATGTCCCGACTGATATGAAGAAGAACTCGATGAGTTCAAGGATGAACTCGGCGAGTCACGAGCAAAAGGTCCTGATTTTGTATGAGGGAGAACTCGACGATTTCTTTAAAGAATCGACGAGTAGGATCGAAGTTCCAGTACTTTGTGGATTATGGAACTCGATGAGTTGGTGGACCAACTCGGCGAGTTGAGTCAACCAGAAGTTGACTTTGACCAAGGTGTTGACCTTGACATGAGTTGACCCTTGAAAGGGTTACGAGTATGAAATGGTAATTAAGGAAGGTTGTTATGTGTAGGAGTTTGAGAGAAGTTGATCCCAACACCGAGGACAGTTCAGTTACTGCACGACATTGATGTGAGTTACCTTCCTGTAAAAGTGGGTCTAAGGCACCAAGGCTGACCCACTAGTAAGAGTTATAATAGAGATAATTGTCTTCGTGATAATTATCTGGTATGTTGTTATCTGTTATGATTATGTGCTAGCATGATATGATGTTATGTGATAGTAGGTAGCAGGGGGAATAGTCCTCGTGTTACAATCGTAAGGACCGAAGGGTAGGTCGAGCACCCCAGATATGCCCGACAGTATGTTTATGCCATGTCATTATGTGGTAGTAGTAGGGAGTGAAATAGTCTCCGTAGCTAGTTGAGATAAACCGTAGAGTAAGTCGGCGCCCCATAATTACGTAGGTTGGCACCCCAGAATTGCTAGACAAGGTAGGTCGGCACCCCAGAATTGCCTGACAGGGTAGGTCTGGCACCCCAAAATTGCCCGACAGTATGTTTGTTATGTGGTATGTGGTATGATAGGGGAACTCACTAAACTTCGTGCTTACAACTTTTAGTTTTGTTTTCAGGTACCTCTTCATCGAAGGGGAAGGAGCTGACACGGTAGCTGCGCATCACACACAAAAGATTTCTGTACTATGAGATTCTTGGGATTGTACTCTGACATTGTTACTATTTTTATGATATGGTTTTGAGACATGTGGTTATGGTTTTTATGAAATAATGTGACTCGATGTTGTTTCTTATGATTGTTTTTGTAAATCGTTTTATCAAAATGAAATTTTTGGTCTTGAAATTTTGTAAATTGTTTTTGTAAATCGTTTTATCAAGTGACACTTAAAAAAAACATTATTTACTAAAAAAAGAATGTTAGCATCGCACTGAAGTGTATGTAACTACAAAAGTTGACGCATCAATATCATTTAACTTCGTGTAGATGGTCTAAAGAGGATGATACAAATAACTATATGGTCTAAAGAGGATGATAAAAATAAATATATTTATTACTCGTAAACATAGTCATGTGCACAAGACTTTTGACTACTTGGACTAAATTGTATGGGGAAAATGACTTAAAAAACCATCGAAGTTTCAAATTCGTTAAAAAAAACCATTCAAGTATTACATGTTTAAAAAACACCATCAAACTAAGACATATGTTAAAAAAAACATCAACGAAGTACATGTTATGTTCAAAAACTATCATATCTATGGTTTGGAGTAACTTACATATTTAGTCCCTAACTTTTTTTCTTAACTTGGACAGCCCCTTTAGTTTAAATTTGCTTCGACTTTAGACCCTTATCGAGTTAAAAGACTAATACACGCTTATTACTTTCATTTAACATTATTTTTATTATTTATTAATTATTTATACAATTTATGTTATTATTTTTTTATAAATATATCGATTGTTTAAATAATTAACAAGTAATAAAAATAAATGTTAAATGAAACTATTAAGGGTATATTAGTCTTTTAACTCGATCATGGTCCGAAGGCAAAATAAATATAAACGCTAGGGACCGTCCGAGTTAAGAAAAAAAAGTTAGGGGTCAAACATGTAGTTACCTCAAACCATGGAAATGATGTTTTTTAAATAGAATATGTACTTCGTTGGTGTTTTTTAAACATATGCCTTAGTTTGATGGTGTTTTTTGAACATGTAATACTTGAATGGTGTTTTTTTAACAAATTTGAAACTTCAATGGTCTCCTAAGTCATTATCCCAAATTGTATGAGGTAGTTCAAGTTTAGGGCTGTTAATGAAACAAAAATAGTATTTGGACCATAGTTGCATGTTAGGTCTAAGTTCAGGGACATTTTAGTAACTGTTTATTAACTGTATTTTCTGAATCTGCAACATTAGCCTTTTGAGTTTTTTTTGTCTCTCATGCTAAGGCGGGCATAGCTTCAAAGAGATCCAACTTTCTATGGAGAAATCGATCGAATCATAGAAGAATCCAAGTCTTTTATCGATCCATCAGCTGCATGTATCGATCCTTTTATATGCAAGTTAAATTCCACCAGATGAAGCGTTAATATTTGGGGATATCAGGTACGCACTAGAACTGTTTGATGAAATGCGCGATAGAACACTATATAGGAATCAGTAGTAATCATCATTGAAATGAATCATAATATGAATTGTATGGATGAAGTTAATCACTAATTCTTAGAAGATTCTTACTAAGATCAAGACGCTGAATCTTCCGATTACCAAATCCAAATGCTTGGCTTGTGATAGTTAGGGCTATGCAAAATGCAAATCGAATGATGTATAGTTTGAAAATTACGATCTTAACAAATCATTTTCAGATGATACTCTAGGATCACGATTTTATCTTTTTATCCTTTTTACGTTACAAAACATTCTAATTTTTTGTTTTTATGTACTCGACACGTGCGATCTTGCATCGGAACTTTGTATACACTTTCGATTGATATTTTAGAAGAATGGAATCATGTTGAAGAAACCATCAATAAAATCATTAAGCTGACCTCCAACACTCATGTCTGTATGATCATCAAAAGGGAATGATTCAATCCGTTCAGTTGCTTCTAGAAGTTCTTCAATTGGAATCTTGGGTTTTGATCTCTCCAATGGAACCACAGTTGAATATTTCCGTAGATCTGAACAATACTCCTGTATTCATTATGTTTGTGTAAAAGACATAAATACCCTTCCTCATTCTCATTATTAATAAAAACTCTACAAACATACCTGATCAGCATGGAGTTTCTTCACAAATCTTTTGAATAGATTATAATTCTTCTTTAAAAGCAAATCATCTCCTAATCGAAGAAAAGTCAATGCTTCCATTTTCAGTTTTGGTGATTCTTTTCTATTGATTCCATTTGGCCTCACACTCAAAAGAATTTGATTGTAAGCTTTATAATCATATCTTTCAAGTGCATTTTCACCTGCCATAATTCCTTCCTCTCTTTTCACTGCTGTAAACACCTGTTTTTACACATTAGAAACATCATAATTTAACCAAGTCCAGATGTGATGCTTGTTTCATAAATTTTCAAATGAAAGTTTATATTTAGAATAAGTTTCAAAAATGGTCCATGTGCTTTCCAATTTTTAGCATGAAACTTCCTTCAGTTTTGGTCCTTATTTCAAAGTTATCGGTATGAAACCTTGGACCAAATATGATGCATGTTTCATAAATTTTTCAGACGAAAGTATATATTTAAAAAAAGTTACAAAAATGGTCCCTATGCTTTCCAATTTTTAGCATCTTTAGTCCAAAATTGAAACTTCCTTCATTTTTGGTCCTTATTTCAAAGTTATCGATATGAAACCTTGGACCAAATATGATGTTTGTTTCACAAATATTTCAGACGAAAGTATATATTTACAAAAAGTTACAAAAATAGTCCCCATGCTTTCCGATTTTTAGCCTCTTCAGTCCAAATACGAATCGATATGAAACTTTTTACCAAAACCGAAAAATATTTAAACTTTGAACTAAACATGGTAAAAACCAGAAAAGTAGAGGGACCATTCTTGTAATTTACTCAAGTTTTTTCAAATTAAACCTGTTGGACAAGTTCTTGAGGTCCACTTTTTGCAGATGTAGGTTGTTCAGAGTCCCTCATCTCCAAACAAGTGAAATTAAAAGCAGCATAATGCCTTGAAAGCATTCTTGCAATAGGGCAATATCCATCTCTATCATTCAAATTATAATATCCAGCTGTTAACTCTGCAGCATGAGTTTCATCTTTATACCACCAATGGATTCCTGATATCTGTTTTATCAAAAAAAAATAAAAAAAAATTCACACCATTAATATCTGCACTAGATACTTCCACTTACAAGAAATAGCAATGTACTTTCATTTCTTCATATTACAACATTATACTTAATACTTTGAAAAGTCAACCGATTTATAGCAATATACTACAAAACAATTTTCGTTGCTATAGTTTGGTAGATATTTTAAAGTTAGACAAAATTTTATAAATGGTTTCCAAAAAGTAGTAGTTTTAGGATATCTTTAGGAAAGGGTTAATCCAAAAAAAACCCTTATATTTTGTGTTATCTTCAGATTAAAACTCAAAGTTATTTTTTGCCTGAAAAAAAACCTTGTATTTTTTTGTTTTTTCCGAGAAAGCCCTCAACATTGTATTTTTTTTCGAAAAAACCTTCAACCTTCTAAATGCTTCTAAATAAACCCTCAACTTTTTTAGTTTTTCTCGAAAAAAAAAAACTTACATTTTACAATTTTTTTGGCAAAAAATGACTAAAAGGGCCAAATTGGGAAAAATGAAAAAATACAGGGTCTTTTCAGGAAAAAAAATGAACTTGAGGTATAATCTGGAAAAAACACAAAATATAATTTTATTTTATTTTATTTTATTTTTCAGATTAACCCCAAGAAAGAATTGTAAAATGTGAGGGTTATTTCGAGAAAAACTAAAAAAGTTGAGGGATTATTTGGAATGATTTAGAAGCATGAGGGTTTTTTTTTTTTCGGAAAAACATACAAAGTTGAGGGCTTTTTCTGGAAAAAAAATAAATTTGAGGTTTAATCCGGAAAAAACACAAAATATAAGGTCTTTTTTTTTTTTTAGATTAACCCTTTAGGAAACATTACACCGGTGGTCCTTGTGGTTTCAAAATCAAGCATAGGTGCTCCTTCAGTATAACTCCGTTACAAACAGTTGTTAAGTCTAAGTAAATTGACCAAAATACCCCTAGTTTTGTCTTTTCTTTTAACTTACCATTTTAGAAACTACAGGACCAAATATGTAAATTAAAAGAAATTGGGTAAATTTTTTCAACACAAAAGAAATGGAAATTAAGTTTTGGTATGAAATGAATGAAAATAAAGTACATTGCTATTTCTTGTATTTATATTTTATACTTGTTACCTTGCAAGCTAACTTCACTTTACAACCCATGAAGGCTTTGTTGGCTTCTTCCAAGATCTCATCACCATGGATCAATAACTTGTTGGAATACCAAGTCAAAAAGAACTTCCCTTTTTCACTAAGATAACCTTCTGATCCAAAAAAACCCGTTTCGTTTGGTTTATTATTATATTCTCCCGCATCATTTGGAAATTCCCAGTCTGGGTGTCCCACTTTTGTTGTAGCCTCTTCAAAATCCGCTTTGAGATATTTGTCGTAGCACTGAAAATATCAATAAAATCTCATTTCAATTATTTGTTTGCCTTTTCAAAGTACAATGCGTTAAATAAGAAAGAAAAAAAAGTTGAGGATACAATGTTCGAATAGAAATAAATGGAAGTAGTATGCTATAATAAACAAATAAATGAAAGTACATTGTTATTTTTTGCATTTAACCTAAAAATAAATGATGGGAAATTTATATAAAGTAAAAAGAAAGTACATTGCTATTTCTTACCTGAAATTCACCTATACCTGGGAAAGCCCAACCCTGGCTCTGCGGGTAGGAGGGGTACCTGAGCTCTCCTGCAGGGCCAAGCCCAACTTCAATATCCGTAAACAATTCCGCTTCTAAAAAGTCAACCATGTTCTCTTTGAAGCTCTTCATGTAGTCACTATACATCTGTATTTATAAAAAATCCCACCATAATGGATATTTTAAAGTACATTGCTTTATTAAGAAAAATGTTAAAAGTACAATATATGAAAATAGGATGCTATGATAAACAAACAAATAAAAATCCATTTATTTTTCCCTTTGTATACAATCATTTATCGAAATATTTGTTATAGCGTAACAAACCTAACCTCAATTGCAGTCCGACCACCAAAGAGCGGTTGATTGTCTACACCAATCGTGAGATATTCCACGTTACGATTCCCTACTCTGTCAGTATAAAATATATCTGGGTCCGTGACGCCTACGTCACGAACCCAGTGTGGGATGGGGATGTTGACAACGTCCCCAATATTCCCACCGCATTGGTGGAATGACATGACCACTTGCATTTTCATTTTACAATCTTGAACAAGTTGAAATAAAGTTCGGTAAGCTCTCCAATCGTACTCTTTAGGTCCTTTGGATTCAACGATCCCCCACCATACGTCACACATCACACCATCAACGCCTGCGTCCTTCAACTGCTTTAGCTGCTTCTCGAGACCTTCTTTGTCTTTGAGAACATTATCGTTTGTTATGATTTCCAACTGTTCGTTAATAAATCGAATTTGTAAAGCGCTAGAACTTAATGCGGAAATCATCATTTCCCTTAGACTCTTACTTTCTCTCTTGTAAGTCGTTCTTTCTACATTAAATACAAAAATCAACCATACATAGTTTCCGGATTAAATTATGGCCCCATTATGTTAAAAAGAAACACTCTTAGAATTTAATGGGAAAAGCCTCATTTCCTTTACTTTCTGTCTTTGTATTAAGGCTATGTTTGACGAGCTAGCTGAAAAGCTAGCTTATCAATAAGCTATCTAAAACAACTTTTAAAAAAACTAGTTTATAAGCTAATTTAGCTGTATCACCATACTCTAAATTGCAATAAGCTAAAAAAAAAAAGGAAACAACACCTTAATCCAGTAAGCTATTTATGAGTGTTTCTTTTTGTCATAATGCTAAAAGAACAACTTGTTACAAAAAAGTCCTAACGTTTTATAAATTTGCTCTCATTTATTTTTTTGTGCAATTTTTTTCTCAAATATTGTTAAAAAATCATTTATCTAAACAAAATAAAATAGGGCCTAAATATTTGTAAATAATTTACCTGAAGCATAACGTAGATTGGCACATAGTTTGCCAGCATGCTATCTTTATCATTGAGAGGAGTTGATGCCTGTAATTTTTTGCAAGAGTGTGAGAGATGATTTGTGATTTTTTAGATTTTTATTTGAGAATTTCATTTGAAGGGTTCGTTGCATATATTTTTTTTTTATTTTAATTTTAAGTAAATTATATTTTTGGGCTCTATGTAATTTTTGTCCCTATTTTGTTGTTTTTTTTGTACCTATTTTTAGTCCATGACTTACACGTTGTATAGAAACGGGGTTCATTCCGCCATATAAAATGATTATTTTGCCCTTGTGTTCTTGAATTTCTTTACGTCCTTCATCTCTTCTTCAATAAACCCAAAATCAAACCAAAACCCCAGAATTTGATCTAAAATTCAATACAAAAATCTGAACCGAAAAAGCAAAACAAAATCAATCAAGGCTACATTCCCTTACCTACAACTCATCAATGCACTTGATCTGGTGGTGCTTGGGGGCAAAATGGTCATTTACATAGATTTAACAAACGGCCAATTAACTTAGACAATCCATATACGAAAAACAATAAAAAAATATTATTTTTTTTACCATATAAAAATTGCTATTACACAAGGACCAAAAGCGTAATTTACTCTTTACTTTCTTTTATATCGTACACACTGATTTTTAGGATCACTTAATCAAGATAGCATTTTATGTTCTCTTTGAGCCCTCAATATGCTACCATTTACAAACCAAAATAATAATAAAAAATTAAAAACACACGGTATAAAAGTTGCATTTTTTGTGTCATTGACATCAATCACAATCAAAATATACAGTATAAAACTAGTTTTACCTTGAAAGAAACTTCTGTTGCCAAAGCATGAGGAGTTTTGATGGATTTCTGACAATTAAATCCTTGCTTTTCCCAAACCGTGTACATATTTTTCTCCAAAAACTGAATCCGAGGTAACTTCCATTGGCGGCATCTCGCCGGAAAACCACCGAGTTTTGGACACACTATGCTTGCCATTGTGACACGATATAAACATTTATCAAATTCAAATGGGGATTTATAGGGAAATTTTCAAGAAAATAATGTTTGGTTAATTTTGATTTTTATGTTATGTGGCTGTGGGAATTTGTTACAAAAAAAACAAAAATCCAGAAATTGATGGTACTTCTACTTCCTTTACTTTTTGCATGCATACAAACATTTGAATGTGTCTTTGTCTATCTTTTTTGTTTGGGTCTCTTTTGGAATTTCATTAATTGTTTTACTGTTGTATTTATTTTTTCAATTAATCTTTGTCGACTTAGAGACGATCAATGCCTTTTGTCTATTTCCTTAGATTCTTTTTAATAAAAACCAATGTGATTAAAAAAAACAAATTATATTATTAAAATAATAACATATATTTATATAAATAAAACGAATTAGGAAGTTGTAGGCATTTTAAAAGCAGACTTTCGGCTCGTGTGGTCCGTTCGACCCAATTGACTTGTTTCCTTAGAGACTTTCGACTACTGGGGGTTTTAATAATGGTTGTTAAAATTGCGATCCTGATCGTAGGTTTGTACTATCCTATGATCCTAGGTATGAAAAAACGATCCGGATTGGTAAAGGGTCGTATTTTGGATAAGATCGTAAGATCGTAGGTAGGATCGAGATCCGATCCTACCTTCCCTTGATTTTTTTTTGAAATGAATTTTTTTTACCACTTTATGTCTTTTACCCTTTACCAATTTACCATTTATCATACTGTATTGTGACTTATGACTAATATTTTGAAGTTTTTATAACTTTTAAACGAAAAATTGAATGTTTGAAATATTTTTCATGATTAAAAATTATAAATTAAAATTATATTTTATTTTGTAGGATCTTAGGACCCGATCCCGATCTTGCAAACCCGAAAACGATCCTAGGTAGCATCCCGATCTTGACAATCTTGGTTTTAACTTAGCCGCCCACCATTTTTTTAAATAAAGAAAATCAAAATGAAATGATTAACGGTGAACTACTCACTCAATTTTTTTTTTTCTTTTATATGTTATATCTTATGTTTTTATTGATTTGTAGTTTGGATCAATAAAATTAATAAAAAATACTAAAGTTTGTAGAAACATTTCTTTTAAATAGAGTATAATATCAATATATTTCATATTTCATGTTAATTCTTTATTTATAATAAATAGTTGGTTTGGGTTGGATTACTAATGTGTTGAAAATTTTGTTAGATTTGATTGTATAGGTTCACGAATGAGAAATTATTTTTTTAATAGAAAATTTGGTTTGGGTTGGGTTGTTAATAAGGATAGTATTATAATTATTTTTCTTTATCATTTTACCAGTTTGACCTATATAACTTTTTAGGATTTTTATTTATTTATTTATTTATTTTAGTGTATTATTGACAGTTTTATAAATGGTTCTTATGGTTTTAAAAAGTTTTACTTTAAGGATATCTTTAAAAAATGTTACGATGATTGTTCTTATGGTTTCAAAACCTTGCATCGGTCATTTTAACTAAAGGGGTGTTTCTTTTTTATATATATTAAGATATCTGAATGGCATTTTAACTAAAGAGGTGTTTCTTTTTTATATATATTAAGATATCTGAATGGATACAGTTGAAGTTTTATCTCATTTTTTTTGGAAATTAGAAAACCATCTAAACAAAGTAAATGTCCATTATACCCTTATATAGAGTATATATGTTTTTAACAAATGACTAGCAATAAAAAAATTGTTATATATATATATATATATATATATATATATATATATATATATATATATATATATGACTATGACTATGTTTAAATGTGGAAGAACATCTATTGTGCGGATGTGTGTGGATATTATTATTCTATAAAAATGACTAAGATAATAGGTTGTTTGGTAATGTGAATACATTCAACCTCAAACAACTATTGTCATTATCGTGCATTCTCATTAATTTTTATTCATTTTGTTTTCACACATCATATAACATCCCAAAAATTTCAACCAATTAAAACTTTTCAAAACAACCCATTTACTAATAAAAGTGTTCACAAAACATTGTTTCGAAAACATTATTTAAAAATCAGTGTCTCCCAAGACCAATAACACAAAATAAGGATGTGGCACACATTCGCCTTGCCACGGTTCTGAAACCATTAATCGAAATTGTAAGCACAAAGTTTAGTGAGTTCCCCCAAAGTACCACCACATAACTGTAATAACAAAAAAAAAAAGCATGTCGGGTCCAATCATCCTCGGGATGAAATACCCTAGGCAAGATGCCAATATACAATGGGTCCAAAACCTATTGAGGTTGGATTACCCCAGCCCACAACCTATCGAGGGAATGCCCATACATACTACATACTGGGTCCACAACGTATTGAGGTTGGATTACCCCCGACCCATATTAGACTAGGCGATATTAAATTATTAATTATAAGTATATAGTTAGGGGGCTAAATGTGTAACTTAGAGGCTTATATGTACTCGTGTAATTATCATTCATAATACACAATGCATACACAATTCAACCAGATTGTTATGGTATTAGAGCCAGCTGAATACCTTACAAACCCTAAAATCTGTCGCCATCCTCTGCTGTCAGAATCACTGTTCACGAAGGCATTGTTCACGCGATTATTGTTCACGAAGGTACTGTTCATGTAATTAATGTTCACTATTATTTCACCCTCTTTTTCCTCCTGGCCAGCGTTAGCTTCCGTTGCCTCTACAATGACCCTCACACTTTTTTCTTCTAAAGATAAAACAACGCACAACTCTCACAAATTCGGCTTTACTCTATCTCCTACAAACTATGGGCACTGGAAAGGCATGATTCAGCCTTTCTCCTCACCAATAGCTTATTTGGCTAGATCGATGGCACAATTCCTCAACCCACTACCATAATACCATCAACAGAAAAAGATGTTGCACCCATTCCTAACCCTAGTTACTTGATCTGGTTGTCGAATGATGCCCACGTCAGAATGTTACTCATGTCCACGATTTCTGAGGTCACCTTTCAACATGTACAAGGTATAACTTCTCGTGATCTTTGGCTTTCTCTAAAACGAGCATACACCTAACATACATCCTCCAGAAAATTGTAACATCCCAAAATATCAAGAGTAGAGTTGAAGGGCTAAAAGAGTAAATTGGGAAAGAGTGACTCGGCGAGTCCATGTGCGGACTCGGCGAGTAGAGTCGCGACTTGGTCGCGTGTTAAGTGGCCGACTCGGCGAGTCAGTATAATGGACTCGGCGAGTAGGCGCTGAGGGGAGAAAACCCTAATTCTCGGGGTTGAGCCTTATATAAAGATCATTATGTTTCCTCCCAGCCTCTTTATCACCCCTTGAGCCCCGGAAAACACTAAATCACGGAGAAGCACCATTGTTGAGTGGATTGGAGCTTGGAGAAGTAATTGTTGAAGGAATTTTGGGAGATTGAAGGCTTGGAGCAAGGGGCTTTGCTTGGATTCGAATTACATTGCAGTTGGGGCATCACTTAGAGGTAATATCTCGTTATTGAGCTGTTGTTATGTTGTTTCTTCATTTTGGGGTTTGTGAGAATTTGTCTATGGATGAAATGGGAAGTCTAGAGGTTAGATCTGAGGTTGCTACCTCAGATCTGGAAGGGAGAAGAATCAGAGAGCATGAAAGTCCCTGTGTTGGAGTGTTTAGTGAAGCTTACATGTCCCAAACCCTATCCCAATGTGCAAACAGATTAGATCTCTTTGGATTCACGTAAAGTTTGCCACTTTACGTGATGGATGAGTGGTAGGAGACTAGATCTATGTTTTGGAGCAGTTGCATGGCCTGGAATGCTTCTGAATGTATTCAGACCGGTGGTACTCGGCGAGTCACATGGGTGGACTCGACGAGTTGGATGAAGATGGCATGGAACTCGGGGAGTTGTATGAAAAACTCGGCGAGTAGGTTGAAGATAGCCGTAGACTCGGCGAGTCTGTTCTTGGACTCGACGAGTCTTGTCGAAGAGTCCCAAATATTTTCTGGTTGGGTCGAGAATCGGTGAGTCGAGGGATGACTCGGTGAGTTGTGTGCGAGTGGACTCAGAGTTGTTGGACTTGGCGAGTCTCGGGGTGACTCGGCGAGTAGGGTCAGTCAGGGGTTGACTTAGACTGAGGACTTTGATTTTGACCAAGGGTTGGCCGTTGACTTTTAGGGTTTGGTCAGCGATGTGGCCTTTGGGCCAAGAGAGGGGTAAAATAGTCTTTTACCCTTAAGAGGGTGTCATGAGAGGATTGATTCTAGTCTCGAGAGTTATATTCATGAGAGTATTTGCCTTACGTGTTAGGCGGTGGCGAGTTTGAGATTTAAGTGTGGGGATATCTGCTTTCTGCTTGCCAGGTGAGTCTTCTCACTATTCTTTACCTTGAGTAGGTAACTAGAGTTATGTGATCAGAGTATTTGTATGCTATATGTACGTGATGTGTTGTACTGCATTACTTCTATGTGATTTATGCTGTGCATGTTTATAGAGTTGGAACCGGAAGGTTCCCAGAGTTAGAACCTGAGGGTTCACAGAGTTTGGGTGCACGGACCCATAGAGTTATAGCCTCGAGTGGCTAATATGCGTTATGTGTGGTATTTTGGGGAACTCACTAAGCTTCGTGCTTACAGTGTTTTGTGTGATGTTTTCAGGTTTCTTTCAGTATCACGAGACGACACCGGCTTGATTGTACACACCAGAGAAAGAGTCATTTTTGGAGGATCCTGGTTTTCTATGCAAGTGAAAATGGAGTTATGTTTTGTAATTCGACTATGAATGAGATTTTAAAAAAGCGTTTCTAAGAATAAAATGATTATTTTAAATGAAAATTTTGTCTTGAAATTTACGGTGTTACAAAAATATACTCTCAAAATACAACTTCTTCAAATCGATACGAAAGGTGATGAGACCTCTACCGCCTACCTTACTAGAGCGCAAGAGTACTCTGCTGCATTAGCAAACATCGGTAAACCAATATATGAACAAGATCTGGTGATGCTCGTGATTGCAGGGTTGCGAGAAGAATACTCTGGCCTCAAGTCCACCTTACTTGGTAGGGAGAACCCTATCGTATCTTCAGATCTGTATGGATTGTTGGCTGATCATGATTACTTACTTCGAAAGAATACTCCATCTCCACCACCTGTTCAGGCCT